TGTTTGGAACTTAAAAAAATAATGATTAATTTATCAAAAAAATATCAAGTATTTAATTGAATTTAATTAAATATTACATAGATGCCTAACAGGAGTTAATTTTTTTTTCGTAACGTCTATTTTATGAAATCACTAATGGCATAAAGGTTTTCGGAATTTTTCATCAACAAAATGGTTTAAAAAAAAGTCACTTTTTTGCGCATGGTTTTTGGTGAATATCTCAATAAAAAATTCACGTATCGGCATAAAACTGGTATATTATGAAAGCTGAAATTATTTCACGAATTGAAAAAACAAGTTTTTGATTTTCTTTAGTTATTTTTACGCTATTTGTTTGTTTGTTAACATAGACGTTTGAAATTTGGACTGTAGCCAATTTAATACTTACAAGTTTATATTCTGTACTTCGTTTTTGGAACTATAATGTTTTTACGATCTAATTTTAATATTTATTGACAACCGTCCGATTAAGTCGTGAATACACGTCTGTCATTTTTCATTAAAGTTTTTTCGATCGAACGACTTTTTTACACCTCAACAAAAAAAATTATAACTCGGCCATTTATAATTTGATTTTGACACTATTATTTTTACTTGGGGGATCGTGATAAAATATTAACAACCGCAGGATACGTAAAAGTGAAAATATATTCTATTTTGCTTACACAGGAAAATCGGTGTTTTTATTATAGTTACGTCAATTGATAAATTATGAATACTACAATTATATGGATTATGTTTCGGTAAACAAGCGTTGTTTATTTAAAAACAATTATTTGTTTCAATAATTTAATTTATAAATTATCAAGAATAGCAATACAATAGTTGTTATTTATCAGGCTCCCTAAAATAAAATAAAAAAATCGTCAAAATCGGATGACAAGCGGCCGAGTTACAGCTTTTTTCTTGCGGTGCGAATTTAAAGTAATTCGATCGAAAAAATCCTAGTGAGAAATGACAGACGTGAGACGTACCATCACGACTCGGTCAGACGCTAGTCAATAAACATTAAAATTAGACCGTAAAAATGTTACATTTTCAGCAACAAAATGCAGGATATAAAATTTCAAGTGTTAAACTAGCCGCTGTCCAAATTTCCAACGTCTATGCCAATAAAAGCATTTAAAAAAACTTGTTAAATGACTTCGGATTTTAAACATTTGATAACAATGAATTTTTTTTTAGTTCGTATAAAAATTCCAGCTTTTATAATATACCAGTTTTATGCTGATGTATATGTATTAGATATTGGAAAAAAAGTAACTCTTTTTAAAGGCCGTTTTTTGATGAAAAATTCCGAAATTTGTTATGCCATTCGTGAATTCTTTAAATAGACATTACATAAACAAAAAAAAATGAGCTCCTGTTAGGCCCTGTCAAACGATGGCATCTACATGAGATTTAATTAAACAAACAGCGCCAATAGCTCATGTAAATTTTATATGAATTGACGGTTTTTCTAAGCCTCGACGCGAGGCTATCATATGCTTTGTTTTACCCCCAACCCGACCGTTTTTCGGGCATTTTAATGGTTTCAACATCGTAAAATTTAACGTGAGAAGCTATGATCGCTATGATAAGAATCAGGCACTTATTCTAATGCTGTCAGCTTAAAAAATTGATGTGTTGCAATCGATAAAATATTATTCAATTTAGCCAGTATTCTGCACTTCAAATACAATCCATACAAAATGTCAAAAAATTATACTCAATAATATTAAATTCAATATATTTTCATAATAAAATCAAGATAAGCAACAATACAAGCAAAACATATGTATACATGTACATAAGTAACGCATCAATAGTTAATACATACACACACATAATATATCAATAGTCAATATTTACAAAAATCAATCAAATGCAGTTCAAGTTTTTGCGTAATATGCTCCACTCCCTAAAGAAACATCAAAGTTCTATTTTCAATACTTTGCAAAAAATATACACCAATTCTGGTACTGTTTACTTCAAAGCAGCAAAATTGTACATTTTTAGTGTGAATTTGTTACACTCCAAATTTGATTTTGAAATTTATTCATAATACATATGATTATGTTAAACTTTGGTAGGCTTTTCAAAACCTAAAAGTATCCTGTTTAATATATTTCTCTCCAAAATTTTCATTTGATACACAAGTTTCCTACAAGGATCTTGCGTCGAATGAAGCAATTTATCACAGTCCTCTTGTGTTTTAGGGTATTGAGTAAGCAGAATAATTATTCTGGTTTTAAGAAATTTGATGGCTTTTTCATCTAAGGACTTTTCAATTTCACAGTTAACTTTAGTGATGTCGTGCACAGCATCAGATTGAAGCCAGTGATGGAGTTCTTCTTTGGTCATATTGAAAATCCTGAGGAATCCCAGCAAAGGTCCAGAAATTAGCCCCTGATCTGGCTTCAGAGAATAGTCGCTAATTGGCAGTAGATTTATTTTGGTAAGAAGCTCAGCTCTCTCGTTCCCCAATGCATCTGCTTTACTAACACCCAAACGTAAAACAAAATCGTCATTTTGATTCCCAGGGTGCACAAATCCAGAGTGAACAAAGAACTCTGTGTTGGTCCTGGCTCCATAATAAATAAAGATTTGTTCCCCCGACTTGAAGTCTCTCATAGCATGGCATTCGCAGGAATTGGATGCTTCATTGAAGTTTGTTGTTATCCTTCCCTCTTGGTGATTGCACATGTCCCACATTGGAATGAGGCTGTGAATCATTTGCGACCCATCCTCGCTTGGGATTATATTTTGTCTAGTCATAACAGTGGATACCGCCCACCTGTAATCTTCGTAAGTAAAGTCATCACCTAATAATTTTGAGACAGAACTCTCGTTATTGTGAAAAAGCTTGTGAAAGTACGAATATTGTCTAGCTATGTTTCTACACTGTTTCAAGGCAGGTTCAAAGCTAGGACTTCCTTTCAGTTCCATCATATCTTTTACATTCATGTATAGCACTGTACAATATTTTTTTGGCAAAATATTTAAGTATGGCTTCCACTTTGAATCTTCCCTTTTTTTTTCAATCAAAAGAGCAATAGCCAGAGCTACTTGAGGCATGTGCTGAATCATCACATCATTCTGTATGTCTTTCAGTTCTGGAGCAGCTCTGTAGACACTGAAAATCAACTGTTTTGGAATTTCAAGTAACAAATCATTTTCTTCAAAATCTTTTTCAGCTTTTAGTCCCAAATCGTAGTCTGGAAATTTGTGTATGCTGATATTATCAATTTTTGCTCCATTTTCCTTTAGCCAAATTAAAAAATCATTAGTTGCATCAAACCTTTCAACTGCATCTATTCTTACGCTTTCAAGTTTCCTTATATTTTCCAAGCAACTTGATATTTCCAAATAATTTTCCCACAGATTGTTTAAATAAGATGGATGACTACTAAGTCGCAAAAGTTTTTCACACTCTGCGTTAATTTCTTTCCTCTTTTTCAATGTATTACGGTTGACTGTATCATTTCTATTTTTTCTATGGAACTCGCTTTTGTTTTTTCCCATTTTACAGTAGATTACCAAAAATAATACAAAATTTGTGTCTATTCAGAGTAACTCGAATTGAAAGGGACAAAAGCACAGTCTACTTTTTTACTTGTTCTATTAATAAATACAACATTTCCGAAATCCATATTAGGCTGCAGCTGGTTCTCAACTTCAAGCAATATAGTTACGACACTGACTTCCAGATATGTTTAGATCATCGATCGTTGGAAAAGTAGCAATGCATTTAATTAAAAAATTGTCATTGTCAATTGCAGAAATAATCGTTCAAAAACTAGTAAGTGTTGGTGCATTTAAAGCGCTTCCGCATTTTTATCAATTACACACGTCAGTATTCTGCATAATCAGGGTGCGTTTACAATTGCTATATTATGCTCAGAAGGATCCATAATTCCATATGCCATATCCAATAAAACATGAGCTAAGGGCCTTAGCCGAAGGCCCGAGGGTGGTCAAAAATACAAACTAGCTACAACTTTCATCAGAATTAAAAAAACCTTACGAACAGTAGACATCCGAGATAATTTTATGATATTTTATTCTGGTATAGAGTTATGTGGGTATTTAAGTAGAGATTTTTGGTCAATTCTATAAACTTTTCGTAAACTGGACAAAGAGATCGAAAAAGAAGTTGTTACAGCGAAGGGCAATTAGTGGTTAGAATAAAACTTATATTTGTGACCCACTCTCTAAACATATCACTATTAAATCTTATTTTACTAATATATGAAGCAAAGTTGCTAAAACCGTTGTAATCGCTAACCGCGAAAACTACTGAACCGATTTTGTTGAAATTTTGCATACTGATTATTGAAACTTTCTAGATGGTTTTAGTATAGTTTTTATCTTAAGAAAATTATAAACAATAGTTTAATTAAAGTTTTGTAAAAATACGTTAGATTTTCACTTCAGTACAGTAGGATTCACTAAGTACCGTGGAAGCAAAACCGGAATCGGCGACCGGCGACAATTTTCTTACAGGCAAATCGTTGTATTGCAGAATCTTAAAAAGGCCAGCATGGGCGCTATTTAGCACGCGCTAATGAACGTTTAGAAATACTATCGTGCGCAAATGCTCAGATTTTTTTTATTTACTAGCGCGCACAAATAAACATTATGATTGTGACGTGGCACTGTCGACGCCCCTATTCTGAAATCAATTCGTGTTCTGATTTTCTGAATGGGATCCTCGTATAACCGAAATTTTCATGTGTTTTAGAAACTACCAATGACAAGCAGGAGAAGGAGGCACACTGGCACACACCTAGACCAGAAATGTAGCGTGCGTATACGTGTAACTGAAACTTTCGGCGCCGCACATAAGGTTCGTTCAGAAGCTCCCCTTGGTTCGGTTTGGTTCGGTCGGTTCTGGGACCAAACATAAAAAAACACAACCAAAGGTCCGAGACGGTCGGTTCTGGAACTAAGCTCTCGTGAACGCATGTGTTTTTTTATGTGTTTTGGTCCCAGACCCAGCCCAGAACCGACCGAACCGAACCGAACCAAGGGGGGGCTTGAACACGAACCTATTAACATAAAAGAACGAGCAGTCTATAAAATTTTTTAATGTCTATGGGTGTATCATAAATGTTGTCCCACTAATATGCGTGAATTTATTGTACGCAATTATTGTTATTATTTGCTAATTTGTGTATCAAGTGTGTACCCAACCACACAAGCTCGTAATTAAATACCGACTTACCGAGTACGTTTAACAATTACGATAAATTCGTTACAATCGACATGTTAAAGGTCTGGGTAAGACGATACTCGTAGCGATTATTGTAATTTCTTACTTTAGGAAGAAAGAAGAGAACCGTTCTACCATGCACATGTCCAATAAATACTTATGCCATATGTAAACTCGCGATAAGTCACGGGAACTTTTTTATTTACTTTAGTAGTCTATACATGTTTTGTAAATAAATATGGCGAGTTCAAAGGACGTGAAGAAGACTCTGGTACAGTGGTGTGAGGACTACAAACGATGGATTGCCAAGAACCCGAATCTAGTCTCCGATATCGAAAGCACTGTCAAATATGTCTCTTTTTTTACTGCGGGTAATTTTACAATATAAGAGAAGAATTAGTTTGAACAATTGATTTTGAATGACGAGGAATTTATGAGTACTTTTGTTGTAGGGAGGCTGAACAGCTCCACTTTGGCATCAGAGTTTGTTTACTCTCTGCCAAACCTCATGGTACTTTTTAATGATCAAATAATCAGAGCTAGTAGATATTCAGAGCTGAAATTACCATCTTTGCAATCAAAATTAAAAATATGGCTCACCGTAATTGATTACACCGAGGCGCTGTTTGAAGTCTCAGCAAAGAAGTTATGGGGAGAGGCTGGACGATGGTTCATTATTTCTTTAATTCAGCTTTTGAAGTAAGTGCCTATAAATTGTATTTTCTCAATTTACATTTATTCAAAGTATCCGCGCATTCTATTTTGCCTTTATCCCTTTTGATGCTTTTTGTGGTTCTTATGACCAATTTTATCTGCTATTGCTTTCACTTGCTTATTTCTTACAATTTTATCGATTATGTTAAATGGACATGAAAACTTTGTGCCACAGAGTTGTCATGAGACTGATTCTTGTCTTTCGATATAAAGAACGCATAACACAAACTCCAGCTGTTCCACCTCTAAATCGTGAAAAGCTAAATAACAATAATGATGGAATGCAAGCCTCAAAAGATGCATTTTCTCTCAAGCGGTCTGGTAAAGTGATAAGAACTGTCAGGAGTAGTGCTTCACAAACAAGAACTTGGGCACCTCCTGCTTCTACATCAACTGTTGAGTCGGAAGAACTTGAAAATAATGTTACAATTGAATCACTAAAAAAATCATTGCTGATTGCAGAGGTTTGCATGAAATAACTTTTCACTTTAAAATTTTTGTAGATAAGTCTTTAATTCATTAATTTGTGAATTCTAGACGATACACATATTGAAGCCATTGGTACACCTTGGGTGTTTATCTCTTAGTGGTCCTAAAAATTGGAACCCGTGGCTTTTGTCTTTTCTTATTGATTTAACAAGGTAAGTACCGAAAATTATAGGCTTTTTTTATAGGAAAAACGATGTAATTATTAATTTTTGTTATTAGCTTGAAGTTATTCAGCAAAGAGACTTCGTTGACAGGTGAAGAACGAGAAGAAATATGTCGTAGAAGAATAGGGCTGCTGCTGTACATTTTGAGATCTCCTTTCTATGATAATTGTAGCCGTATGAGGATTTACCATATGCTTGAATTTGTTTCAAGATCCATACCTCTTGCTAAGCTTATAGCCGAGCCAATTGCAAGATACTTACCTCATTGGCAAAATACATATTTTTACATGTGGTCTAGTTAGAATATGATTTTGATAAGAAGTTTTTTTTTGAGGTAATGATTTGCTTTAATCACGTTATAATAAGCGGTGGAAAAGAATTCATTTATGAAATTTTTTGTTATTTTTAACGTTAAAAAGAAAAATTTATTCCTATAAGTTATAAATTGTTTTCGTTTAAGTTACTTATTCCATGACATTACCTGAAAATTTCTATTTATTATTGATTCAATGTAATTTCCAGAGTGAGTAGATTTATTAAAGCTAGCGATTTTTATTGTTCTTTTATCATATTCAATACTTTTTGAATATACATCTTGTGTTGAGCGGATTTTTATAGAAAGGTGATTGGATAGTAACTATAAAATTTCATCACATTCCCGGGGTGATTGTGAAAAGTGGTACTTCATGTAACAGTAATACACATACATACATATATACATATATCTTTATTGTTGAAATAAATTAAAGTTTTTTAAATATTGTTTTATGTAATTTTTATTTTTCAAGTTATAAAATACTGACTTCTGCTTCATTATATAGATGCCATAATTTTGTTAGCATATTTTATATCCTCGCAATTTTTATTTACATACAATTACTTTCCATTATATGTATCTGTTTTGTTTGCTTGCAAATTAAAACGAATTTCATTTTTAAATATTCACATTTAATAATAGATGAGTTTTAATAAAATATTTAGCAATAACGTTAACACCAGTAGAGACTTACACGTTCAAACTAAAGGACGTAAAAGCCAGTTTTATAAATCATACATAAATATTTTGCATCTGATTTTTCCGATAACACTCTTTACCCTCTTCACGCTTTTCAAAGCAAAAAATCGTGGGTATGTATAGTAAACCAGAGCCGCAAAACTTACAAATATTGCATTGACAGTTATAAGTATATTCTTTATTTAAAGCGCGAGTTTTGGTTTCGTTTGATAAAGTAGAAAAAATTATTCTGCCATTGTTAATAGTGAATTCACAGACATATCTTTTTTGCCGCCGTTCGCGTCGTAAACTGATTTTATCACTTCTTTATCAATATTTGGAAACATTTCTGAGAGCTGCGAATAAAGAATTCGTAACTTAATAATCTTAAAAGTATGATCATGCAAATTTACGTTAGTTAAAAGCAATGCGTACCTGTTTTAATTCAGCCTCAGCATTTGGTAGTGTGCTTGGAAGAACAGGTGGGGCTGGCGGTGCTGTATAAACATTGACTGGTGCATATGGAGCGATATTCCCAATCACATTTGTTGATGGCACCATCATGACTGGTGCTGGCACTTCCATGTATGCCTTGGGATATCTTACCTGATTAAAAAAAAAAAAAATCAAAAACTTGATGTTATAAACACCAATATTCATTTATTTGAAAAGTTACAATGAACTACCTGATAACTCAGTACTAAATTTATAGAGCCCTCTTGGTTGTCGCCTTGCTTTCCACTAAGTAAATACCAGTCCTCGTAAGTCGTACCCTTCTCAATAACTTGAGGTGGAATGTCTATGTGCCCCCATGCAATCAATTCATCCATTGTAAAAGAACACTCGTCATAAATCTCGATGTAAATTTTATTTACTCCTTGAGGCAGGAAACTGCATTTTAACAAAATATTGAATACAATATTATCTTTTCTAGATAGTGGTTGATTTTTCTTGAAATGGATTTTCTTACACATGAATGACTTTGTTCCAGTGGGGATTTTTTCCACCTCTTCTGTCTGTATGGGTCTCGTAAATTGTATGGCCTACTCTTAATCTGACATAAGGATCCATGCTTGTAAATCCATAATTTTTCACGAGCTTGGCCTATAGAACGAAATAAATAATCCTTTAGTTATAGCAAAAAATAAGATTCATCTACACAAGTAGAACACTGCTGGAGTTTTTGTAAAATGAAAAAATGTTTTTCTGTGAATTACTTGTACAACTGTGATGGTCAGTCTGCCCATATTAGACATTGTTTGATTTTGCATGTGATGTAGGGCAAATGCAGCCTGCCTGTCAGCTTCCTCTTGTTGATTGCCAGACATCGTATTTTCTATCCTTAAAAAATTAGGCGGTAATGGTCCAAGGAATGCCTTCAAAAATAATGTCATTTTATCAGTGTAATTACTAATTTTCCGGCATACATTTTAGGTGTAAAGATGTATGAAGTTAATTAAATCTTGACACATTTTTATTTGAGCTTATGGAGAAACTATACTGCTTGTTGGCTTTCACAGTTATAATATCTCAGTTTTACAATGTAATACTATTATGGATTTCAATAATTATTCGTGAATTAGTTCGACAATTTGCAATATAAAATTATGGTGACTTTTCCACCAGTTTTTTTTTTTGGAAAATTTTTTTGTTTGAAGCCCAACCTTAATCAATACAAAAATTAATTACTACAAGGACAAGCATCAACTTTTGTTGATGTATAACATACTTCCAATGCAATTTAATATGAATGTATATATTGGATTCTAGTTTAGTATTAAATTACATAGTAAGAAATTCAAGCCTCTTTGATGTAAATAATGAGAAGAAAAAATAATATCAAGTAACGGAGCAATGTTTTTCAGCTTGTACTCCGTGTTTGAGACATGTTACAAAATTTAATGCAACAATAATGTTACAATAATGAGTGACAAATAATGATTCTGCATGACTCACTCGTTTTCTCCACTCCTCGCACTGCTCGAAACTTTTTTCAGTTTCCATGTTACTTTTGTGGTATTTGTTAAATAAACACTAACTCTTCTACTTCCTTACTGCTGCTGCTAGATAACAATGTTTAAATTATCGACAAGCTATAGCTATTTAAACACTTAATAGTACCTAATACGTCACATAATACGTGGAAAAGAAAATTCGCGACGCGACTCACTGATGCGTATGAAAACTTCGTTAGATTATTAGCAGGTATATCCTATTAGGTATGTTTTTATGTATTCTATATACTTTCAATGATTTACGTTTCATGTGTATCCGTGTTCATAGTTCAGAGATTATAGATTATAGTTCTCTGCTGTGTGTTAGTGTAAAGGGAACTAGTGTGATCGACCGTGAGTTGCGGAATCTGGAACAGTCTGATTTCAGAATTTTGGAATTAGAAAACTCTACGTAAGGGTGCGGTCACATGGAGAGTACGGAACACGCGCAATACGGAATGCGGACACTTTCCCGATCAGAAACCTTAGTGGGGTGCTGATGGGGTCCACTCTAGGCTGCCAAATTAACCACATGTGGTCCTAGAATGGCATCGTCATGGGGCGTAGATGTGGTCCTCTCTAGTGTGCCCCAATAGGAAAGAAAGTTTACCTAACCCTTTGTATTTTTTGTGTAGGTACATCATTAAATTTGATACAATTATCATAAGAGCATGTGCCTGATTTACCATGCGTGCTATGCAGATTATGGAGTTTATCGGCCGTATAGATAAGGAAGAATTAAATTACGGTCACATATATTTAACCCAAACGCAGAAATATATATTGTTTTCAACAGTTTTAGCTAGGTTATTGGGGCAGCCTACGATGGACCCTCAGTTCGCCCCGTGACGCGCCTAATGGGGTACCAACTAGGCAGCCTAAGGGGGACCCCATTAACTAAGGTGGCAAACCCATTAAATTTCTGATCGGGTTAAACAGCCAATGGAATTACGATTTACGATGGGTATAGTATTCGCTCCGTGCATGACTCGCAGCGCCGCCCTCGGTGTCAGAATCGCGCAATACCGTACCCTCGTATGATTAAATCGTAACACTGTCGCTTATAGGAGAAAGTATTATTTATTGAATAAGACGTACATACTGCTATCGCGTAAACATCAGCACCCTAAAAAATGGATATGATTATCCAAACAGGCTTTAAAAGTATAAGTTGCAACATAATTTTTAATAATGAAACGCTGAAAAAAGCTAAAAAATTAATAGAGAGTGGGCACGTTGCCTACGTACAGGAATATGTAAATAAAGGAGTTGGTCATCTGATCAATTGCTATGTTGTGAGATAAACATCTGTCAGCTTAAATCCATACAAAGTAGAATTATCTGTAAGTAAATTATTGCCTATGCTTGACAAATGTAGGTTATGGTAACATATACATAAATGTGTAATTTATTTATCAGATTAACGAAGACCGCTGTATCTCCGACGTATGGGGTCTACTTGGGAATTTATACAGCACCACCCCCTGCTTTTCTTTCTTGTTGCAATTAACAACGCAGCACTGTCTCGTTCGCATTTCGTTACTTTGTAAACGTTCTTTTTTTACTAAACACTGATTCAGATTATACAGCTAGCGGCAGCCTATGTCGACTGCTTGGAGTTCTTGCTCTCACGCATACAACATTACAGATAAGTATGTGTGTTGTGTACTATATGACAGATGATATTTAATAACCCATTATTTAAAATTTCGGGCGATTTGAAGTGCCTAGCAAAATTATTTATCCGTATTATAGACCCGGTTTGGCTAAATAACATTTTTTTCCGCCTTCGATTTCTCAACTAATTACTTTAAATAAAATAATATCTTTTCTCATATAAGACAACGCTTACTGTACGATTCATGGGGGTACGGGTTCGCCAACTTTGCTCACCTACAGCGCTGCAGTCGTTTTTTTTATCCCCTTCAACCTGATGCATGGAGCGAATAGTGAGCTTCGAGGGAGTGAGGAGACAATGTCCGCCATTTGAGAAAAGGCGCGAGCATTAAAACGCACCATTTAGCATATACATATATATCACGATATACATGTATATGGGTTATTCTACTCAAAATTGCATATTTTATGTCCCAGTTGATTAAAAAGTCGTTTAAGGAGATATCGATCCGGAAACTTTTTAAATTATTTAAAGGATGTTTACTGCTAAAGGTACAACATAATTCAGACCATAAAAGAGTATTTCTTTAGTTTGAGATGCAAAAAAAGGGCCTAATTAGCGTTACGGGCTCATGTCTCATTCAAAAGTTTACTGTTTTAACGACTCCTGATATCAAAACACATAGTTTTTAATTTTTTTACGGTATGGGACCATAAAGTTACCAGCACTAAAAATAATTTTACGTATTTTAGACAGTCAAAAAAAATTCATCTAAGAGTTGTATGCCATTCAAGTTGCAGGACGGAAATCTTATGAACTTAAAATTCCAACGGAAAATACTCACAATCGCACGCAATTGGGCATTTCGATTAGGGCGTTTTATATTCTACAAATGTCAAGGATGTTGCAGGAATTTTTCCGTTTTTTCCATTCCAACAAGCCAGTTTCACGGGCTTGCGAATTTGAAGATTCTGTCTCCCCAAAATAAAAAAAAACTTAGAGCCCGTAACGCTAAAGAATATTATGTATTTTTTTTAAGCATTTGGTTATCGACTCGGGAAGTAGTGGGTTAAAATTTAGCTGTTTTACATATAATATAAGTGCAATGGCAAAGTCTTATTGGCGTTTGGTGCGTTACAATCTCAATTTTTCGATGATTTTATAAGAGCCCGTAACGCTTTTTTTTTTACTAAGAGCCCGTAACGCGATCCCGTGACGATACAAAACGCATTGTATCTTTACTGAGTTTTAGCTCACTGGCTGGAATAAATAAGAACATAATATTAGGGACTCAGTACATCGTGCAATAAGACAAGAATAAAGTTAAATTTTCACTGTGAGTGATATCATCATGATTTTAAGATGATTTTTCGAACCCGTAACGCTCCTTTTTTTGAACGAATCGCATCATATCTTTGTGAACTATTTTATTATCGACTTGGATAGTGTAGTAAATAATAGTAGGGGCTCAGTACGTCCTACAAGTGCAAGGGTACGGTTAAATGTTTAGTGTGAGTGGTACAATCATGATCATAAGAGAATTTTTTCAACCCGTAACGTTCCTTTTTTTCTCAAATAAAATAAGAAAATCGTCGTAAAAAATTTTCTGGTACAGATCCAGCAAGGCCAAAAAAGTTTTAACTTATTTTAGTCATGAATAATACAAAAAAAATTGTAGAAAAATTAAAAAACTGTTTTAAGTGTTTTTCCATTCCGGCCCTCGAGATATTCCGTTTTTAGTAAAATGACCCATATGTATGAATATATACATATATACAAGTACATGACCAAAGTCCCCATGAGCCTCAAATGGCGGTCGACCAATCACGAGCAGTCCCAAGATTGTCCGCTTACTCCCTCGAAGCACACTAGTAATGGGGGACTGGAGCCACAGTGTAAGCATATATACATATACGAGGTAGACTGCTCGTTCTTATGTATAGCACTGAAGCGTCTGAAGTACGAGTAGAAAGAGAAACAACATCGAGCGGAAGTATTTGTCTCTCTTGCACATTGCCAACGGTCGGGACGTTGCATCAGCCAGACTTATATAGTGGGTCAGTAAACTATATAGTTACTGACCCCCCCATGGGCAATGTGCGAGAGAGACAGATACCCACGCTCGGTGTATCCCTTTCCGTTCGTGCTTCAGAGCCGTAAATATGAACGAGCAGTCTATAATCCATTAATGTCTAGGGATGTAAGATATACAGGTGGTCTCATGTAGTGTAGGCACAATTTTTGTGAAATATTTGTGCTGTTTTATTTTAAACCTTCCAAATAAAAAAATCGTAGCCCACTAGACCAAAGTCTATGGGGCTATAGATACATGAAGTGTCTATAGGTTCGTTCAAATCCCCCTTTAGTTCGGTTTGGTTCGGTTCGGTGTGGTTGGTTCTGGGTTCTGGGCTTCTGGTTCTGGGACCAAAAACATAAAAAAAAACTCTCGTGAACAGTGAACGCGTGTTTTTTCTTGTTTTTTGGTCTCAGAACCAACCAGACCGAACCAAAAACCAAAAACCGAACCGAGCTTCAAGGGGGTTTGAACGAATCTTATAAAATCCTAATGGTCCTACATCTACATGCCCACTAATAATGAGTATTGTAACTTGTATGATTTTAAATTATTGGGCACGTTCGATTTTCATCGTTCGTTCGTTATATTCATTGGCTTGGGTCATCCACTTCTGGAAATAATAATAGGCGTCAGCTGTCACAAAGGTTCTAAATTATAGTCTTTTATATTAATATGTGAGCTTATTTTAATATAGACACCACGTCTAACGAGCATAAGAAACGACTGAACAGCACAAACTGTACGAGCGAAACGAACGAAACGAACGAACCGAACGAACGATGAAAATCGAACGATCTCATTTGGCCATAAAGGCATAAATACACACACCTCAATCGAACCCTTATATTATATCGCTCAGAGCGCTCTGAACAACTGATTCGAACAAGTCTCTAGTGTTGTATACAGGTGATTATAGGAATGGAAAACATTTTGACAAACGTATAGACATACGGTTAATTCGCAATCTGATTTTGTACGTTACAATTTACAATGAATAATTTGCAAATATACTACATATTCGTGTGCAGTAAGTGGATACAAGGAATTTATCAATTCAGAGGTGAACTGGAGTAAGCCCGAAAATAAGCACCACTATTCATAATTATGGATGACGAAAATTAAGTAAAGGGTTATTTAAAAACTCAGAGAAGACTATAAGAAACAAACAAGTGTAATATAACAAGCAAATCAAGCTATGGACGTTGTTGTATGTACATAGTTAAAAGTTGGAGGGCCAAGGGCACAAAGGGTAGGTGTTCGAGAGTGTTGCGCTAATAACATTCTATCAGCAAAGTGTTATCACTGTCAGTCGTAGGCGAAATGTCGAAATTCGAAGATACATCTGTTTATACAACAGATCATGGTGAGATTCCTCAAATGGACGTGTGTCGTGTGTGTCTCGAAGAAGCTCCCACTATGGTGGATCTGTTTTACAAGGACAGCGTGCTGTCACTTGCTGACAGGCTGATGTTTTTGTCGAACGTTAAGGTTAGAGTTTACTTAATAGCTTATACATTTTTCTATTTTTCAAATTACTTTGTCCTTTAAGTTTGTTGTTCTGTCAATCATATTCAGTAAGAAATAAAGACGTTTATAATACTATGGACTTTGTTTTTAAACACTAACTCTGTGACACTTAACTACAGTAACCATCTATCTTTCTTGGTACTTTTAACAAATTTTTTTTCTAACTTTGTATGACTATGGTAGTTGCAGTATACACTTTGTTTTGTAGTTAATACATTTTTCACTGCTTCTTTTTTTTCTGTAGTATAAAATGAGGTGATAATCAGTTATATTTGTCTTTCTTGACACACCTGTTGAGTTGATTTTTTCAAAAGTATAGAATGTATCAAATTCTATATTTTCTGGATTTATTTCGTTGTGGCAGTGCAATTAAACATTTTTTAATCAAGTTGTTGAGACTGAATTTATTGTTAAGTTTTTTATTTATTTTAATTTTTGTTATCATTTTCACACTTCCATGTTTATTCATGAATAATCTATGTATTCAAGTTAAATTACTGTCAGGAATAGTAAATAAAATTCTTATTTTTAGGTTGCACCAGATGATGGGTTACCTTCGCAAATATGTTGTGAATGTGGAGATAAGCTTGATTTATCATACAAATTCAAGCTACAAGTGGAAGAGTCACATGCGATTCTGAAAGAAAAATTTGACTCTTTTAATGTAAAACAGGAATTTTTTTTTCATGATGCTGATGTTAATATATCTTGTGACGAAAATGTGGAAGACGTGACGTGTGATGATTTGATTTTACCAGCTAATCCATCAGATAATACAACAAGAGAATTTGAAGTAAGAAAGCATGAAGATCAAGATGAAAAACATGCAGTTTCAACTGAAATTCAGGAAAATCAAGAATCGCATAAAGTTGATGGAGAAGTGCAAGAAGTATCAGAAAAAAATCAGGATGCACAAGACGAACTTGAAGAAATAACCATCAAAGAAAATGGTTATCAGACAAAAATACAAGAGGAATTGAACGAAATTCAACAACTGGCAATGCATGAACATGATTACGTAGAATCACAGTTGGTTGGTACCATAGAGGTATGTTGAAATTTTCCTCTTAATTTCAGAATATCCAATAATATTTTTCGATTTTTACAGGAAAAACACGATAACAAATGCCAAACTGGAAAGAAATTGGTAAAAGAGAATCTTAGGCACGTAAATGTGCAAGAAGCACCTATTTTGAATGAATCGATTCGAAGAAGCAAACGTAAGTTAGTACAACAAAAATCTCCTGCTCGTATATCCTCCGATGAAGAAAGCTATTTTGAAAATTTAAATCTTAGCTGTCGATTGAAAAGGGTCCAAGAAAAATCTGAAAAAATTTATTTTTTATGCTATTGGTGTGACAAGCAATATTTGTCGAGAGAAATCCTAAGAGAGCACATGTTTTCTCATGAGGAAGTGAAAAAAACTCTATCTCTTGTTGGCAAATCTGTTGAAAAAATGCAACTTCGCAAAACATCAGAAAAATCTTCCAGTACAACTTTTAGTCCTAGCACATTAAAACCACCGTTGAGTGGAAAAAAAGTCAACACTTGCCCACACTGTGGCAAAGAGTATCTGTATGTGATATCTTATAAAAAACATTTGAAACAGCACAGAAAGGAAATAAAAGCTTCGAAAGAAGTCTCAATGCCTTTGGAAGTTACAGTCTGCAGAGATGAAGATGATTTAGATTTTCATAGTTTTGATGACACTTGTGCTATTAATTCCGATAGCGATAATGAAAAGTCAAAGGCTGAAAAATTAAAAGAAGAAGAAGAAGAAGAAGAAATAGAACACAGGCAAAGTATCGATACACCGGAAAAGTATGAAGAAGATGAGGCTGAAAATATTCTTATCAGACTGAAATCAAAGAGAGATTTGTCAGGTAAAATTTTAACTACCTTTTTTGATTATTAAATATTTGTAAATATGTAACATTTTAATCTCGAAAAATATTTTTATTTCTAAAATTTTCTCGATCATATTGCAGCAGTTGAAAAAAATAACGTACTGAAGCAAAAAGATGAATCGACAACGAAATTCAGGTGCTTGTATTGCCCGTACACTTTTAATCATGAAAAGGCGCTAACTTTGCATCTTAAAATTCACAAAGAACATTGCGAATTGGAGTGTACAAGTGAGCCGCCAGGCAATAGTCAACCCAAAGATTATTGCTGCAACGACTGTGGCAAGAACTTCGGCATGGAGCTCATGCTCAGGAATCACTTGATTGCAACTGGTCATAGGACAACTGTTGAAGGTGAACAGTACGATTTAAGTAAGAGAATTAAGAGAGTAGCTGCTAAGGCTGCTCTAAAGGTCATCGATAAAATAAAGACGGATCTAGATTGTGAGGGATCGGACGATGAAAGAAGTATTAAAAACGAAGCTAAGGATGCAGATTTTGATGTGCATTCAGAAATGACGGAGAAAATTAAAATTACAACAGACCTAAGGGTAAGTGTTTTGAATAAAATAATCATCCAAAGTTATCGTGTAATTTATTGAACAAATTTTTTTTGATTCACGTGTTAGGAACATGAGTCACCCGCATCCAGAAACAAAGTGCTGTTTTGCGCGACTTGCAATCAAAAGTGCTCGTCTAAGCAAGCCCTGACAAAACACATGGAGCAGCACACAAAGGAAGAGAACTCCACGAAGCAGGAAAATTCCGATGACGGGGACATGAAAGATGACGATGATTATGGTATCGATGATTGGCCAATGGACAACTACGAATGCCCGACCTGCAAGAAAAAGTACAGCACGAAGAAGTCGTTATTGCGTCACCAGCTGCTGCATGAAGAACCAAACTTCGAGTGTGATATTTGCAGTATAAAGTTTCATCGGAAAGATAAGCTCAAGGCCCACTACGACAAATGCTCGGAAAAGAATCCAGACCAAGTACGAAAATGCAATATTTGTAATGACATCTTCAAAAACAACGAGGTGTTGAAGGAACACCGCCTCAAGCACGTGGCTGAGGGTATTCTAACCGAGGAAGACCTCCTGGAAATGGACCCAAAACCCGAGGAGAAGAGCGAAGATAAGGGTACCCGCAAGAGGCGTACCGACATCGTTGGCCTTGAGTGCACCGAGTGCAACAAACGGTATACCTCGAGGAAAGGACTATTGAGGCATTTGCAGGTGCACGAGGGCAAAAAATTCCTATGCGACATGTGCCCCAAAAAGTTCTACAGGCGAGAACATCTGAAGATTCACGTGGCCAAGCACAACATAGTCAAACCGTACAAGTGTCACAAATGTCCAAAGCGTTTCATCAAAGAGGAACTGCTGAACAACCATCTGCTGAAGCACGATCGAGTCCCAAGGAAGCCAAAAGAAAGCACGAACGATGGCACCAAACGCTTTCTCTGCGAGATCTGCTCCAAGAGCTTCACGCAATCAACGACCTTGGTTGCCCATTTGCGCGCCCACAATGGCATCAAGCCCTACGTTTGCGATGTTTGTTCGAGGCCCTTCACCACTAACGCCTACCTCAAGATGCACATGCGTACGCACACCCAGGAACGGCCGTACATCTGCCAGTACTGCTCGCGAGCTTTTGCCCGAGCGGACACCCTGGCCAATCACTTGACCTCGCACACGGGTGAAGCCAAGTACCATTGTAAGTTTTGCCCGAAGCACTTCAGGAGGCTCAAGTCCCTCAAAGAGCACGTATTCATCCATACAGGCCAGCGACCCTACGCCTGTCCTACCTGCGACCGCAAGTTCAACAACAATGGCAGCAGATACGCTCACAGCAAGCGCTGCAAACAGCACAATGAACAACAGACGTCCCAATCTGGAGCCATCATGCATGATATTGGCATCGACTCGGAGGAGCAGGCACAAATTGTGATGATGACTGAAGAACAGGAGAGAGAGGAGGAGGAGCAGCAGCTGCAGCAGCACCAGGAGGAGGATGGGGAAGGGAACGTAGCCCAATTGCATTTGATCAACGAGGCAGATTTACAGGTGGGTCACGTGACACAGCACCAAGTGGTCCAGAGGATAGACGCGGTGGCCACCGGACAGATCCTCAAGCCACAGAGCATCAAGACTATTACCTTAGCGAGGCCGGTCGATGGTTCGCTTGGCCAGCAGCACGTCGTGGGTCAAGAGATTCTCATGCCTCTGATATTGCCGTTCACGGTTACGCTCGGCGAAGTTGGCGATGAGGTTATTTTGTCCGAGGATACGAAAATTTTCACCACTTAAGGCGTAATTTGGACGCTGTGTTACAGACGAACACTTTCTACACAGTGGTAACTCGAATCGAAATGTCTATTTTTGTGTTTTACTTGAGGTTTACGATACAAGTTTTTGGGACGTCGGGAGGTTTCAGTGGACATTTTGACGCTTCGTTGTTTGTGAGATAGTTCGAGTATTATTTATGTGCAAAATACATACCTTTAGATGTCCAACTATCGAGATATTATTAACAAATGGTAATTACGAATTTCTCTATCTTGTAAAAGGTAAACAGACCAAAATTGCAAAATTTGTGATCTTTTAATATGACTCTTCATTAGAAGTTTGCTGATGGTTGTCTATAAATATGTTTGATTTCATTCGAGTAATGCCAGATTCTTGCCATAAAGTATAAGTCTTCTTTATTCAAGTACGGTCCAGCAAATATTTACAGGCTAGCTCAATTGGTCTGGGTGCTCGACAGTTTTGTAGAGGTGGGTTTTCTGGTGTAGAAGTACGAGATTCAGCATTAGCGTCGTATGAGGGTATTAAAAATTTGTACATTTATTGATACAACATATTAAATAGTTGGTGTTTTTTTACCAATCAGTCTAAACATGTATGATTTAGACATAAGTGAAATTTATTTGGGAATTAGATTACTTTACCAAATTTTTTAAAGATCGAGTTAAGACAATTATAAAAAATAAACGACTTTAAGTATAAGTAGATTTTTTCATTCTACATAAAGCTCGGATGGAATAACTTGGTGACTAACTAGAGTATGCCTCTTGAGAATTTGACATTCTCATAAAGAATCCAAGTGTGTAATCACACTTAATTTAAAAGAAAGCATTGTTGGACCATATGTAATGTCACTGGGTATGGATAATAATTGCTTATCTAAAGTTACAAATTCAGTAAGTATTGAGTTTATGGCAAGATTCATAAAATCAAAACTGACAACTCAAGTAAATATTGAAACATGTGGGTCATTTCACAAAAACTGCCATATTTTCACGCCCTAATTGAGGTTTTTTTCATTAAATGTATAGAATTTTAACATATTTTTCCTAATTTATATAAGGTCCAATCAAGTTGGAAATTTTTGGGCCTGACTCTACGATTATTTATTAAAAACTTGTTGAATCTAAATGCATTTTTTCTTAAATTTAAAAAGAGCGTTACGGTAATGGTATGTCATATGTACGTAGTTCAAAAGTGTCAAAAGTAGGCTTCACAAATGAGACGTCCCGTACTTGAAAATAAAATTGTTTTGGTTCGAAACTATCGGATAAGGTGCTCAACACCTCAAACTTTTAAATATTACATCGTAAAAAAATTAAAATATCAACGTCTAGTCACCAGAAGTAGCAACAAACAAAATTTTAAAATGATTTGCGTTACGGTAATGACATTTTGGCCTGTTTTTTTAACTTCAAGGTCACGCAAAATTTTTTTGACTAGATCTCAAAAATGCATTTAGGGAAAATTGGTTTACACCGTTTAAAAAAATTTCTGACTCGAAATAATTCGATCCGTCGTTTTTTTGAAGATTTTGCTACCGAGCAAGAGAAGAAATTAGGAGACGAACTTTTTTTAATATTTAGAAAAGACTTTATTTACAGACTCTACAGACTTATTAATTTTTATTGGGAGTTGAGCGTAGCCTGCATGCGCGACTACAGTCAAATCAGAACTGCCCGAGCCTTGATAGTGCTGCTCATCCTGTGAGTCAGTCCCGACTGTAGATAGGAAAAAAAAGAATTACAAAATTACAAAAAATAAATGTGTTTGATTTCGTTGATCTAAATTTAATAAATTCAAAAGTTCCAAGGCACCGGGATCTGTGCTTAAAAAGGCCAAGGATTACTGACATCAGGTGTACACCTTACTTCTTATCTGAAACAAAACTGGTCATATGAATCATTTATTTTAACTACAGCCTTCATTAAAAATATGGTTTGTAAATTTTTCGTGGAGCTCGATAGGTAAAGGTTTTGTAAAAACGTCTGCCATCTGTTCTTTTGTATTCACCCATTTTACCCTTACGCCACCATAAGTTACACATTCCTTGACATAATGCTCATGTATTTCTGCCATATGTCTTAATCTACCACTCTCACTTAACTTTGAATTTAATTCGGCTGCCTTGTTGTCACACCACAGGTCAGCCGAACAATAAGTTTTATTTTGGATGATTTTAAGGGAATTGTTCACTACCATTAACTCTCTACAAGCTTCACTTAATGCCACATATTCAGCCTGACAAGTAGACAATGCCACATAGGTCTGCTTGTGAGTTCTCCAGGCAACGGAGTTTTCAAAGAGCCTGACAACGTGTCCGTTGTCATTGCTAATTTGTTATGACCTGACTTGTTCAGAGTTTGGTCCTAACTGTTTTATTTAAGTGCCATTCGTGGGGTTCTTAGATGTCAGCTCGTGAGCTTTATTTGTTCTATTTTTGTATTAAATAATAATCTTTATTTAAATAATATTGGTAATTAACGTATTTCTTTATTAAAGCAATTTAATAATAATTTGTTCTTTTAAATACAATTTAATCGGGTCACTATAACAAGGTTCAACGTAAATTTTATTACTGATATTTTACTTACATCTATCACTGACTATTTTTATAGCTGCTTCGGAGTTTCCTAATGCTTCGTGCTGTAACCGTCAGTATTTCCTTAAACTACACGAACGAGTTCGTGGCCAGTATAGGATGTTGCGATTTCTGCTTCCTCTGCTATCGACGGAATCACTTTCGGCGGGCCTCCTTTGCTGTACCTCGTTCCTTAGCGTAGTCCGATACTATTGATGTTCTTGATACGCACTTGAGTTGCCTCAGCCAACACGTTATGCCTTACGTATATAAAGTACTCACAAGTCACGAGAGTCAAGAGTTGACTAAAACTTTAGAGGACAGGTGACAGACGTAAAGAGAGCCAATCACCAAAGCTGGCATCTGAGAATGCTTCTAAGTTGTCCTGCTTTCCTAAGAACTTTAAACCAAAAGATTTAGTGCCTGCCAAGTGCCGGAACACTCTTTTGACCATGCTCCAATCTTCATCAGTTGGACTTACCGAATGTCGATTGAGTACATTTACAGCATAGCAGATGTCTGGACGTACAGTGTTAGCTACATATAATAAACAGCCCACAGCCTCTCGGTAAGGAACATTTTCTGTCGATTTTGTCTCTTTTAAATCATTCTGCATTTCAGATTGTTCTCTTTGTTTTCTTTGTTGATTCAACACGTGTCCAGTGACCATAGGAGTTCTCACAGGTTTTGAATTTTCAAATCCAAATTTAGTCAGAATTTTATCTTACGACTTCTTTTTCTTTGAGTATAACCCCGGTTAATTGGTGGTGGTAACGATCGGCTAAGAATATTATCTGTACCGAGGAAAATCTAAGATTAGGAACCAACACACAAACAATGTTAGTGTTTACATGTCGGAGGGCGGGTTCGTTGCCCTGTGTAAAAGAGCGAAGTTGCTCAGATTGCCGATTATATAAAATATTTAAAATTATTATCAAGTTTCAAAATTTATCTGTTGAATAATCAATGAATTCCTGCACAATATACAGCAATTGTTTTTTAATTATTACTTTATTGAATTCTCATCGTTCCCTGAATATTCACGTAAGTTAATTAATTTAATGTCTTTTTAAACTTATTTAATATCTTTCTAAATCTAATATCTTTTTTTATTTATTCCTGCCCTTTTTTGGGTATAGGCAATATTCTCAGTTCATATAAACAATTTCATAAATATCTTAACAGCTATTATTCTAGTTTTTATCTTAAACTATACAAAAAGAACTCGCAATCATACGTGAAGGGGAAGTTTTACTTAAATAGTAAAATCAATTTATTTTTAATTATCTTATATTTATTCAATCATAATTCTAAGGAAATCGTATCTTCAATTTCTACATGTATTAATTTGTTGACGTTTAAGTCCACTGCGCGAGGCTCTCAGGATTCGAGAAAAAGCCAGGATGTTTAACAAGAAGGGAAAAGGAAAAATACTTTGTAGAGAAATCAGAATTATTATTATTTCGATGAATCTGTCGTTATACCATCTTTACAAGCTGTTGTTGTTACAAGTAAGTCTTACTGGCTAGAGGCTAGCGATCAACTGAACTGGTCTGATACGCAGCATCGGGGCTCGCGTATGCATAGTACATATATTATATACGCGTACAGATGGCCCTATATATAAACTCGTATTCTAACACTCCCTTCAGTTTAATGGAGCGCCTATCTCCGGACGGTTATAAAATAAGTAACATAATAAAAAAAAAAGAATAAATAAAAGGTATCAATGAGTCAGCCTTAATCTCGTAGTTCTTCGGATCTTTGGAGTCTGCTCACTGATGGTTGTTACCTAAAACAGAATTCAAACCATAAGGATTAGATTNCATAATAAAAAAAATAAAATAAATATAAGGTATCAATGAGTCAGCCTTAATCTCGTAGTTCTTCGGATCTTTGGAGTCTGCTCACTGATGGTTGTTACCTAAAACAGAATTCAAATCATAAGGATTATATTCTAGTGAACGAAATTCACTGTCGTGTAATTCTAACAGTCATTTAGTAATTTTGCAGTCATTATCTCATGCAATTCAATCAGTAAAGCTTTAGTAAAAATGTCGGCAATCTGTTCTTTAGAGGCCATCCACTTGATTTCTATGAACCCATATTTAGCACATTCTTTCACATAATGTTCTCGCACTGATGACATGTGTCTAAGTTTAGTTCCTCCATAGGACTTGGCGCTGGCTTCGGCTGCTTTATTGTCACACCTCACAGTCATAGGATAAAGTGTGATATTTAGCACAGCTGTCAAAGTGTTTCTTAGAGCCATGAGTTCTTGACATGCCTCACTCATAGCTATGTATTCAGCCTGGCAGGTTGATAATGAAACGTAAGTTTGTTTATGCGTTCTCCAAGATACAGAGTCGCCAAATAATTTTATGACGTATCCACTCGTCGTATGCGAATCTTTGCAATCTGCTAAACTTGCGTCCGAATAAGCTGACATGATTTCTGTGCTTCCTTTAAAAGTCAGTCCTGTCTTTCTAGTACCATTGAGATAACGGAAAACTCTCTTGACCATTTGTCTGTCTTCTTCTGTGGGATTGATCTGATGTCTACTTAATACGTTCACTGCATAAGATATATCAGGTCGAACAGTGTTTACCAAGGACAGCAAACTGCCGACTGGTTCCCGATATGGGAATTCTTCTGGCTTATCCACACTTTGCTCTTCTTCGTTTCCAGATTCTTCTGTCTCTTCG